CCCCCACCCCACCCCCACACACATACTTCTCTTCTTAGAACTTTTTAAAATCCCACTGGAAAAATCATAAGGGGATGGTGGAAACAACCCTCATGGTTCTACCACTTTGAGGCAACAACTGCTAACATTTAGGGAGGGTATTTCCTTCCAGGGTTTTTACACGTGTCTATTTTTAAATAGTTCAGACCACACAATATGCTCAAGTTTATAATCAGCTTTTTTCCACTTAACATTGTGTGGTATTTTCCCCCATCATAAAGTACTCTGAATAAATATAATTTTAATAGCTGCATATGTTCTGTTATTTGAATATATTTTAATTCAACTAACCTGTTAGCTAGTTAAACCATGTCCGATTTTATTTCTACTATGGACAACACATTAAAATCCTTGTAACGTATCAAATGCTCCTTTACGATGGATTCTTAGAAGTTTCTGGGTCAACAATATGCAGTTTTATGGTTGGTAATATGTGCTGACAAACAATTTCCCAGAAGTAATAAACCCAGCAGCACTCCCACCAGCACAGCTGACCTCACCACGCCCTCACCACGTGCCAACTTCTCAAAGCAGAAAACACGGAGGGCCTAAGGACAACTGACCCAGTTTCTTCAACATCTCAATGGCTAAGAGAAGAAGCGGGGAGACAGCCACAGATAAAAAGAGACTTAAGAGACACGGCAACTGAGCGTCACATGTAGACCTTGTGTGGATCCAGATTCAAACAAACATCAGAAAGAAGATTCTTTTAAACTCCGGTATTAGATAACAGGAAAGAACCATTGTGAAATGGGTAATGACATCGTGGGTAAGCAAAACAGAAAAGGTCGAAACCAGTTTGGCTCAGTGAATAGAGCGTCGGCCTGCGGACTGAAAGGTCCCAGGTTCGATTCCGGTCAAGGGCATGTACCTGAGTTGCGAGCACATCCCCAGTGGGAGATGTGCAGGAGGCAGCTGATCGATGTTTCTCTCTCATCGATGTTTCTAACTCTCTATCTCTCTCCCTTCCTCTCTGTAAAAAATCAATAAAATATATTTTTAAAAAAAAGAAAAACAGAAAAGGTCCAGATCAACCTACTGGCAATGCACATGAACATGTTTATGAGTTAAATGAGACGATGTTTGGGATTTGTTTTCATAGACTCCAGCCTCCTCTCCGCTCTGCTCCAAAAGGTGAGGGTAGGAGGTGGAACGCATGAAGCACAGTTGGCGCAATGACTTGACCTCCCAGCCACCCTCTTTCCCAGGCAGAAAATGAGGCCCAAAGAAAAGAAAGGATGTGCGTGAGGTTACACAGGTGCAGCCAGAAACTCCTGTTGGAAGGGACGTGATCCCCTCCCCAAGCACACATCTTTGATGCTTCCATTCCCTCTGCAGCCCCGGCCTCAGGCTCCATCTTTGAGGCTCCCCACCTCCAGTGTGGGGACCTCCTGATATCTGAGATGGGCCTTTGCATCTTTGGTGAGCTCTGCTGCCAGAAAGTTCTCATGTCAATGTAAGGGACGCGTGGGACACGAAGCCAGGTGCCCTAGATTTTTACCTCTTGCTTTTTCCTCTACAAACTTCTGCTTCCTTGTGTGTTCCCCAGGCTGGAGGCCCCTCGAGATCCCAAATGGGGCAGTTTGCAAACCAAAAGGAAAACGCACCTCTGAGAAAGCCAGGGCCAGGCTCCTCCCAGGATGTCAGTCTTTCCTTCTCTCCTCTGTAAATCTCCCCGCCTCTACACCACTTACCGAAGTGACCGGAGGGACCGTGGTTGCAGGAGTCACTGTGGGTATGGGCAGTGGGGGTCCCTCGGGGGGAGTGCTGCCCGACTCCTCCGCCTCAGCCCTGGACAGGGGCTCCTCCGTTGTGGCTGCTACCAAGTCTTCATCACTAGGACCCTGGAAGCAAAACCCACAAAAGGAATCAATGTGATGTAATGTGCACGCTGCTGCCTGCCTGTGAGTTTTGGTGACTGTCATTTCTATGGCACTAGCCCAATTTCAAAACCCTTTCTTACCTACCACTCTCATTCTCCCTGACACATTCACAGAAGCTCGTACTCCCCTTCTGAAAAATGCATCTCCTCTAAACCCTCATGCCCAGTGACAGGGCAGCCACTGCCCCTCCTCCCAACAACCCCTTCCTGCTTTGGCCATTCGCCCTGAGAAGGTTCTTCCTGGACAAGCTACGAGGTAGCAGGGTCGAGACAAATATCTGCTCCCCTGACCCCTCTGTCATGCTCCCTCCGTGGAAGGAGCTGAAGTTAGTGCCCCCCCCCCCCGCCCCCCTTTGGCACTCTGACAAGCTGAATGGGCATTTGTGGCTGGGAAGGAGGCAGCTGCTCCTGGCTCAGGATGCTGCCCTCTCTGCCTCCTGTGAGCCTCAGAGAATGGGGGAGGCACTTACAAAAGTGACTGCTTGCTCAGGGGCTGCTGTGGGTGTGCCAGGAGGGGGACCACCGGTGGGAGCCTTGCTGGCCTCCTCTTCCTCTTCCTCGTCCTCGCAGGTGCTCAGGGGCATTTCTGCAGCAGCTGCTGCTGTTGTCAAAGTCCCTTCACTGACTGGACCCTGAAACAAAATTGGCGCGAGGGACCTGCCACTTCGTCCTCGCCTCTGGATGGTGTGCGTGACCGCAGGGAGTAAACGGCCAGGCCATCAGGTAATTGGCCTGGCCATAGCGCCCCTTCCCTTGCTCATCTAAGACCTCTCAGACGGTCCCTTCCATCTCCCAGGGTCCCCTCCAGCACACCGAGCCTGCACATCTTCACTCACTGGACAGTTACCACCTCCACAGCCCTGCTGGGTAAGTTCTAGTTTCTACCGAGTCAAGACTTGGCAGAACTGGGACCTGGTGCCTAGTTGTCTCACCTTGTGATAACGGCTTTACCTTTAAAGAAGTGGGGGGATGAGGGATGAGGGTCGAGAGAGGAAGGAGAAGAAGAAGAAGGAAAAGAAGGTGATGGTGATCCTTTGGTTCATCAAAATCGACCATGTAACTGCCCCGTGGTGTGCAGAGCTGTCAGCTGGTGAGGACGTAGCCTCCCCACTGCAGAGTTTCACCGGCTGACATTAGGCCAGAGGTGAAAGGCTGGGAGCAAATGTGCGGAATGATTCCAAAGGCCAGTGCTGTGGGTGTGTGATGGCCTGACATCTCCCGCTAATAACTCACTCAGCAAATATGCATCAAGTACCCGCCATGTGCAGGGATGAAGACAGATTGATGAACAAGATGTATATAATCCCTGCCTCTTGCAGCCTGGGAGAAGCCAGAAAGGAACTGGTCACCCAGTTTATTGTTCATTACAGTTATGACGAGACCTTACGAGGAGAAGTGCGGGTACCATGAACGTGTCTGTGGGGAGACTTCACAAATCTGGGCGGGCATCTCCCAGACAAAGTGGTGTTGAAGCTGAACTCTGATGGCTAAGCAGGAACTGAGGAGGGGAGGAGGGAGGAAAGGGTTCTGGGCAGAGAGGGGATGGAATGGGAAGATTCTGAGGCAAGAAGGGGGACGTGGAAGAGCTATAAGGTCAGCAAGGCTGAGCAGCTGAGAGCTGGGAAGGGAGGACCCCAAGACCTTGTCTGTGAGGCTGGCCAGGCCAGACCCTGCTAGCCTTGTAGGCCAGGTGGGGGTGGCAGTGTCTGCAGGACGGCTGCCCCCACCAGGAGGAATCAGAGAGGCTGATGGGGTTGGCCAGGCTGGAGCCTCAGCCAATTCCTGGGCGGGGGCCGGGGGGCTCAGTCCAGGGCAAGGTCCTGGCACTGGAGAAGGGTTAAAGGGGTGGGGTCCACCATGTGTTGAGGTAAAAAAAATCAATAAGACTTTGTGGTTGATGGGATGTGGGAGGGAAGAAAGAGGGAAGAGGATCTGGATTAGGATTGGATATGATGCTCCCATTCATTTGAGCTGGGAACGCAGGAGGAGCAGAAATGAGTTTGGGTTTAAGTCTGCTGAGCTTGAAGAACTTGTAGGATACTCATTCTAGGGACATTACAGGGACAGGCTTGCCAAGTGTCCTGACGTTAGGAGCTGGGAACAGAGTCCCCATGACCCCCAAGGAGAGGGCTGAGAAGTCCTGGCTGTGCTCTTGGACCCTGTGGGGCCTGCTTGCACCCCAACTCTCCACCACCCCCTGATAGCCTGTGTGCATGCTCAGATACAGGCCATGGCTGAGCCCTGTCACCTCTCCTACTCAGGGCCCAGCACACCTCCTGCCTGAACCTGACCCCTGCTGGTGGAGGCGGTGACCCTGTACCAGCCCTGGGACTCACCCCCATGTCCCTGACTCACCCCCCTAGCTGGTTCTCCAAGGACCTGCAGGGGCTTCACTACACACCCCCTCAGGAGGGAGTATCTGGTCAGGAAGGTGCCCCCAACCCATTCAGGCTCCTCTGGATTTGCTGCACAGAATGAAGACTGGCCCTTTGAGAGGGCAACGTCTGCTCCCAGCCATGACTTCAACTTTCCAGCACCTTACCAGACTGACCCCTTCCTCAGGCTCCTGCGTGGACATGAAGAGGGCCGGTTCCCCGATGGGCACTGTGCTGGCCTCTGCTTCCCTGTCAGTGCTGGTGGGCATCTCAGCCTCCTCCATTGATATCACTGCTGAGCCTTCTTCAGTGTCTGGACTCTGAATAGAAGACATCACGGGGACCAGCTCAGTGATCCACAGCCCTAGGGCTGGAGGGAGCAGACAGCCAGGACCCCTCCTGCACCTGTGTCCTGTTGCTTCAAAGCATTTGCACATCCCAGACCTCACCTTATACCACCGCCCTGACTGGGGCACCCACACAGAAACCTTGACCTGCACACCACCCAAGGTGTGAGCACCCTGCCCAGTATGGTGCCTGTGTGTTCATCCCGCTCCTTCCTGCCAACCTCAATGGCTGGCACTCATCAGCTGCCATCTACCTTCCACTGCTCTGGAGAGTGAAGCTTCCACTGAGGGCCCAAATCATGGAGCTGGGACAAAACCCAGTCCCGGATCACAGCTTTCTAGGGGGAGGGGCTATGTGGCCTCACTGACCACTTGCTCTCCTCACTCTCCTAGCCCAGTGCCCTCTGCCTTCCATCCCTCATTGTCCTCCCCAAGGTCACCAATAGTCCCTCTGACAGACCCAGCTCATGCCTCCTAGCCCAGTGCCCTCTGCCTTCCATCCCTCATTGCCCTCCCCAAGGTCCCTCTGACAGACCCAGCTCATGGCCTGCTCTCCCATCCTTTACTCAGTGGGAATCCTGGCAGGATCTCGCATTGTTAACCAAACCCAGAGCGAGCCAACACCACCCTCTCCTGGAAGGAGACACAGCCAGCGAACCACACTCTACCTCCAGGCTTGCTTCCCCCATCCTTTCTCCATTCAGGCGAACTTTCTAAAACCTACTCTGACTACATCACCTCCTTCTTTACTACCCTCAGCAACTTCCCATTTCTACTGAACACACCCAGGCTCATTCTCATGGCCTCCTCAGACTCAGAGGCCCCTTCAGCCACATTTCCCTGCCTTTCCTCGCTCACGCCTGGCCCAGCAGGTCTTGATGCCTCCAGGCCAGTCAGTGGTTCTCAACCTTGGCTGCACATTAGAATCACCTGGGAATCTTTTTAAAATCCTGATTTCTGGGCCTCACCCTCCGGAAATTCTGTTTCTTTGTTACTAATGTTGTGGCCCCACCCCATAACAAAGAAACAGAATTTCCGGAGGATGAGGCCCAGAAATCAGGATTTTAAAAAGATTCCCAGGTGGTTCTAATGTGCAGCCAAGGTTGAGAACCACTGCTCCAGGCCTTTGCTCCTGCTGGTGCACCTCCTGGAACACCTGCCCCACTCCCATCTGCTAGGCCACTTCTAAGCATCCCCTTGGTCTCACTTTCAGCATCCTCTCCCCAGGAAGGCTTCGAGTCTGGGTTCTGGCGCCTTTGGGGTGCTGCCAGAGCCCCGTGCGCTTCTCCTATTGCACCTCTTACCCTCTGTCCCTATGAAGCAGTCTACCCTATTTACCTGGTGCCCAGCACCCACCATCTACTGAATGAGTTAACAGATGACTCAGTCTCCAAATCACTCAAACTTGGTCCCACAGGCTGTAATCCACATTCTGACAGCGACTGCTTCCACTGAGATGCCCACCAGCCCCCAGAAAGAGGTGAAGTGGAGCATGCACTCCAAGCTACTAACTGGAGTGTCCCCTTCCCCAGGGTCCTGGGTGGACATGGAGAGGGCCGGGCCCCCGGTGGGCACACTGCCCCCCTTGGATTCCCCTGCAGTGCTGACGGCCACTTCAGCATCCCAGGCAGTGCTGATGGTCACATCGGCTTCTCTGGCTGCTGCTGTCGTTGCCAAATCTTCTTTAGTGTGTGGACTCTGAAACAAAGACATCACATCAGTGGGCCCACAGCTCTGATCAACGTGCCTGTGGCTGGAGAGAACAGAATGTCCGTACCTCTCTATCAACCTGCACTTCTGTAGCCTCTTTCCCTCTGAGAACTTCCTTATCTGGACCTCACCCCAGCCCTATGATAGTCCCAGAAGCACAGCATCCCAAAAGAGACTGCACAGCACCTGTCTGCACACACCAGTGGCTGGGAGACCACTGCCTCCTGAGCCAGCCTGCTCCCGCTCCGACACCTCTATCTGGATGCATCTGCCTCCCTGAGACCTTCCCACATGTCCATCCAGAAGCCATAGGAACAAGAGGACAGTCTTTGCCCATGACAGTGCTGCACGACCTGCAGGCAGCAATTCAGTCATCTTCTCAGCCTTGACACCTGCTTCCTCTCTTTCTCTGTGACTTACTTTCCTTCGGATGCACACCCTTCCCTGAAGGTTACACAGCAGATGCAGGAAATGGAAGTAGAGCAGCTTTGACTGCCGGTGCTACCAAACTGACTATGTCTGACCTCAGTTTCCCAAGGTGGTTGTTGTTTATAATTGGGGGTTGTTTTGTTTTGTTTGCAAAAGTGTAGTTCTTTTGGATACTGAAAGCTTATCGAGGTTAGATAGATTTCCTTGTTGCAGGATTTCTCAGAGCCTGTAAGGAAGAAATAAGTGGAGCATTTCCTACACTTATTTGACAGCAGAACCTTTTTTTCATATAACATATCATGTCCTTGCAGAATTATTGTCCAAAACACACACACACACACACACACACACACACACACACAGGAGAGAAGATGAAGTTACAGATTTTACTAGTAAAATGAGACTCTTTCTGACACAACTTCAGCTAAAGTCCCAAAGGGCTTTATAATTAAGTACAACTAACTAATTAATTGTACAAGTTAAGTACAATTCCACCGTCATCGTGTGCCTTCCACATGCTAAAAGAAGGAACCAGGCCACTTATGTGGGATGCGCTGAGAGACCATGAAGTGAAATCAGTTCCACCGGCATTAGCCTCTCCTCCTGCCTCCGGGCTATATAAGAAAATGAAAATACCCCATATTGGGAGAGTGAGAATTCCTTTGGAGAGAATTTTAAATGGTTTCCCCCCTCCCTTCTGCTCACTACAAACCATTTGGTGAGCTGGATATGTATTCCATGGAATTTGGGAGACAAAGGGACTGCATTTTTTTTTAATATATTTTATTGATTTTTTACAGAGAGGAAGGGAGAGAGATAGAGAGCTAGAAACATCAATGAGAGAGAAACATCGATCAGCTGCCTCCTGCACATCTCCTACTGGGGATGTGCCCGCAACCCAGGTACATGCCCTTGACCGGAATCGATCCCGGGACCTTTCAGTCCGCAGGCTGACGCTCTATCCACTGAGCCAAACCGGTTTCGGCGGGACTGCATTTTTTATACTATACTGAACTGGGCTTTGAAAATAGGCTGTTATCAGACATGACTTGGAGAGTATGAGCATTTTCATCCCAGGACAGCGAAAAGGATGAGCTGACCCTGTGGGCCATTGCGAGAAAAATACATTTGCTTAACTTTGGTATCCAACTGTGTCCAGCATCTTAAAAATTGGCTTTGCGGGTCTAAAAGCCAATTACCCAACCACAGAGTGGACTCACATGTAGCTAATCTGATTCTGGCTCAAAGAACAGAAGAGGTTGTGCATCTTCCCAATTGGGTGGGAGGGAGGCAGGTGCCAGGGTGAGGACCCAGCACTCATTGCCCGGCAGGTGTGAGGACCAGCTCCGTCTCGCCCTGGTGCATCCCTGGAGAGCTTCTGGAGCCCTGGGCCTCCTGCTGCCCCTGTCCCAGCAGGAGGGAGGCAGTCTCTACCTTATTCAACTAAAACCCTCGTGGCCCCCTGGAGTGCCCAATACAAGTCACCATCAAGTCTAAAATAAGCAAACATATTTACCACTGACAGAGCAAATGAAATTTACTATTCACTCACCTCTTCAGTGACATGAAGGAAGGCCCCATCCCCGGAGCCAGGGTCTGTAACGGGGACCCCGTTCATAGCATCGACCTCCTCCAGAGTGTCATTCAGGATGTCACCAGACCCTGGGGAAGCAGGCGTTCTGTAATTAATAACTGCACTTTGTGGTCTTGAAAAAGAAGAGCTCCCTCTTCACCGACTGACTTGGAAAGATGCCCAGGGTACAGGATTAAGAGAAAAAATCCAAGGCAGTATTACATGTGCCCGAGGCCTGCGATCGGCCTGCATTTTCTGCCCTTTTTCAGAGGGGTAACCATTTCAGACCAAAGTTACAGCCAACGTTGGAGCACCGAGCTTTAGGTACAAGGTCAAAATCAGCCCACACGCCCACAGTAGGGGCTGGCTGAGCAAACAGAAAGCAGCATTGCTGGTACATGTGGTTTCTACCACAGTTTCTGCCACAACTTCAGGGCTGGAACCCAGCTTTGGCAAGTCATTTAGCCTGTGCCTCAGGTTCCTCGTCTGTGAACTGGGGATAATTCCCATCTCATTATGTGCTACAAGGATTAAATCCATTAATACAAGGAAAGCATCAAGGACAGCACCTGGCATAGAGTTAGCAATGGATAAATGTTCCTTCATTGTCAGTGTGGTTCTATATTTGTAAAGGGAAAACAATTACATATGAGTATTCATGTTTTATCAACATCATATAATTAATATAGTCACTATAGAATACATATAATATGTGGATATATATGGATATGTGTGTGTATAGATAAACAACACACACTTGGCTAAACCTCAATATTTAATATCGGTTTCCTCCTGAAGAAACTACTATTTTTTTGGTGCATGCAACTCTTCATTGATTAAACTGTTACCACAAGTACATATTTCTTTTGCAATTTAAAAAACACATGGAGTCCTAAAGCAAAGAAAAAGAAATTATATAACATGAATACATGTGTGTTACATACAGGCTGGACCCGGGGCTAAGCATGTCTCATGCCTTTCCTCACTTAGTCTTCCCACTAACCTATCTCAACTACCTACAAGGACCTTCCCACCACCTCGAAGCTGGTGGGCAGAGCCAGGACAGAACCCCACATTCTCAGTCTCCCCACTATCAATGCACTCCGTGTGTATCCTGCTCTGACCCACATGTTAGCACCTTATTTATTAACCCCCATCTGCAGAGGAGAAACAGGCCCCACAGAGAGGGAGTGGCTGGAAGAAGCCCGTGAAGCCAGGTCGATCTGTCCCATGCTCAGACATTTCCACACATGCTGTGTTCATGCATGCCCCATAGTATGAACAGTGTGTGTGTGTGTGGAGGGGAGGGGGCAGGTAGGTGCTGCATTATTCAAGGCATCCTTTGCACACACACATCCTGTAACTCTCATGCATTCTTCCAGCTGCTACCACCAGGGGGGACTGTGCAAGCAGTTAGCCAGACCCCAGGCCTCAGAGTCCCCACCTCTTGGAGGATGGAGGTGAGGGTAGTGTGTGCTCTGGGGCAAGATGGTGTCAGGGAAACTTGAATAAAACTATTGGGTGGCTTCCCCTAGCCTGGGACCGGGCTCTCTGGGTTCAGGCCCATTTCCTTCACCATCTGAACATTCTACCCAACAAGAACGGGAACATTTCAGCCAGTCCCGTTGCTTTTGTTTGGCCTTTTGTTTGCCAGAGAAGGCGTCTGGCTGATCACAGGGAACAGGCAAGTTGTGCTTGGATCTGGGTCCCTGTCTGGATTTGAATCCCACCTCCTTTGAACCCACCCCTCAGTCTAGGACAGGCCCTCGCCCCAGGGCCCCACAGCCTCTGCCCGCTCCTTGCCTGTCCTCAGAAATCCCAATTCCACCCAGGAGAACAGCATTGCAGTCCATGCACCACTTCCACCTCCTCTCATCACGGAGGATTGTGGACAGACAGTGAAGGAATCTGAAGCTTGGGAAAGTTAAGCAACTTGCCCAGGCCCGGCAGCCAATAGGTGGCTGAGAGGGATCTCGTCCAAACTGTCTGCTCCCGGCCAGCCCCACAGTCTTTCCACAGCAACACCCTGACTCCTTGGCTGTGTTATGACTTTATTAAACTATCAGACAGTTTTTTCTATTCAGGACTGCATACCTTCTCTCACCCACAGACTTCCCAAGTTTAGTTATTAAAATAACATTCATTTACTGATGGCAGAAGTAGAAAGAATAGTGATATGTAAGATTATAAAAGACATGTAAACTACTGAACTACAAACAAAAAAATTAAAACCACCCACAATCCTACCACCCAGAAAATATTACTCATAGCATTTTGTTGTATATCATTCTCGCACACACACATTGTTTTCTATGGGTAGATGTAAATATAAATAACATATTCAAAGTTAGGGTCACAGCACACATAACAGTTTTGAAAGGTGCTTTTCAGTGGAGCACACCTTGAGCATGTACCTGGGCCATTCAATCTTCTGCATCACCAAGTTCAGGGCTGCACATATGAATGAAATATAATTTGCTCAGCCAGTCCCTACTGTGGGCATCTGGGTTGTTTTTAGGCCTTGTACCTAAATCTCAGTGCCCTGGCGTTGGCTCTCACTTTGGTCCGGAACAGTTATCCCTCTGATAAAGGGCAGAACACGCTGGCCGATCTCGGGCCTTGAGCACACGACTAGCTGCTGCCTGGGGATCGTGTCAGAAGGTGGGTTTTTGCCAGTGCTCCTTTGTAGCGCTGGGTAGGGACCGGAGTCCTGGATGGGGAGCCAAGAGGCCAGGCTGCCCCAGGGCCTGCTGCTGACCTGCTGGGCCTGCCCCTCTCTGGTCATCAGTTGGTTTTCCCACATGTGCCACACAGGAGTTTAGACGGCCTGACCCTCTGAGAATCAGGGAGTCTGTGGCCAAGGCTGGGAGGGGTGGGGATTCTGGAGTGAGGCCTGGGCACCGGCTCTGTCCCACCGCTCATGAGCTGTGTGACTGTGGGCACGTCACTTACCTTTCCAAGCACTGGTTTTTCCATCTGTAAAACACTAGCTAATCACAGCAACTCGGAGATGTGTGGTTGGGCTTGGAGATGACGTACGTAAACACTTGGCCCACAGTAGGTACTTAATAAGCAGCAACAATTGTTATAAGCTTTTCTGTTAAACCCCAGATCCTTCTGGAGGGGTTGTCTGGGGACTGAACGTTCAGCTATCCAAAAATAAAAGCCACCTCTGCCATTTACAAGCCAAAGAGCCTCAGCCGGGTGACTTGACTTCCCCACCTTGTTTGTCACAGGCAGAAGGTTAGATGAGGTGCTCTATGTTCCATACGTCACCCAGGCTGACGCACAGTCATCACTCAATAGAAAACCACCATATGCGAAAGGCACACCCAGGACTTGCCTTGCTCAGTGCTGCTGTTCAGGATGGCACTCAGGTTGGTGGTTTCCAGGGTCCCCTCAGGTATGGGCTCCCCAGAAAGTTCCGAATCCTCAGAGGGAAAGGTTGGAGTTGGAGGTGTGTTAATGGGTTCAACTTTTGCTTCTTTAGGCTGAAGGAAGAAGAAAAGAAAAAAAGGGACCCAAAAACATTTACTTGGCAGGAAAGCAGGGGGAAAGGGCAGTGAATAATATCACTGGAGAAAATAATATATCCACAAAGTTCTCAGTAAACCCAGAAGAAAGCTTAGACCTGCCTATTGTGTACCTGGCCAACCTGCCAGGCCCTGAAAAAGGTGCATGTGGGAGTCATTTAATTCTGTTCTGTTTACAGCAAGACTCTGCCAGACTTGGCTGAAGCTCCCTGAGCACAGAGACCACATTTCCGTATCCCAGGCTGGGAGAGAGGAGGGAGGTGGTCAAAAAAGATCTATTAGATCAGGGAATGAATGAGTAAATGAACACACAAATGAATGAAGTAGGCTGCATTCAGTGAACGCTGTCTAAATCCAATCCCAGATGTGCGCTGGCCATGAATGCCTCTGAAAATAAGAGATGGGTGTGGCTCCCTTTCTTGGACACTTCAGCTTCTGTGTAGCTTTTCCAAAACCAGTTAATTCCTCCACCAACTAGGAAAAGAAGAAACAAACAAAATACCCCAACAGTGGGAAACACAGAGCAGTTCAGAGATCTAGGTAGAAATCTTGATTGGCAGGGGTGGGGGGTCAGCAAAGGTCATGACATCATCCCCAGACCCAGGCTCTGGAGAGACAGGGCTTGCCAGTGTTCAAACAGTCTCATCCCTTTCTGAGCTCAAGGGGCTGGGGGATGAAAGGAAGGATCCGGCTGACCATTGTTGGACCTGTGATGTGAACCAGAAACCATTAAGGCACTAAGACTTCCGGATTAATTTGTGACTGCAGCCATCACTTACCTATCCTGACTAATAACATAAAATTATTTCCTTAATGTCAGAATCTAGTGTATAAACAATGAATCTATGGTCCATCAGAACAAGGAGGGTTCTTAGGGATCTAATGGTTCTTAGAATCTAATGGTTCAGTTCTGACAATCAATCTTGGGTCAAATCTCAGCTCTCCACTTATTTGCTTTGTTATGTTGGGCACGTCATATAACCTCACTGAGCCTCATTTCCTCCTCTGTGAAATGGGGCCAATGATAACTACTTACAGGGTATAAGTGCATGGAGGTGACCAGCACAGGGCCGTAGTATGAGCCCATCAATGTGTCAATATCACTAGAATCCTAAAGTTTGAGAAAGAACAACACCTCGATAGTGATTTTCTCTGGTATTAAAGATGTTTGTTTTATCTTTTTAGTTATCTGCAGTTGTGGGTTTTTAAAATAATGAATATGAAATATTTGTGTGCTAAAAAAATAATATCATTTGTTGTATTGTAAAATCTCCAGAACAAGAAATAATGAATATGAAATATTTGTGTGCTAAAAAAATATCATTTGTTGTATTGTAAAATCTCCAGAACAATAAACGACGTGGGGCTAGAAGTCTTCAAGGAGTTGGGCCTTGAAGAATGAAAAGAGCTTCCAAAACCAAGGACGGAAGAAGGCATTGGGATGACAAAGGACACAGCATTGTCTGGGTCTGACAACCTGTGCTTGGTGAGGATTCCAGGACAGAAGCAGAGGACAGAGCCAGGAGGCGGAGAGAGGGAGGGAGCTGGATCTTTGGTGAGAAGTCTTGCCTGGGCCTGGGCCATCTGTGGGGTGTTAGGCTGGGGAGTGGCATGGGCAGGTGTGTACTTTTGAGAGTTCACCCTAGTGCCAATGAGAGCACGGGTTTGGGGAGTTGAGGTTAGGCCAGGAGACCAGGAGGCTGCACTGAAGAAGCCCAGTGAGGCAGGAACCAGGGTGGCGTTGTGGGAGCAGAGAGCAGGGACCACCCCAGGAGGGCTGTGAAGGCCTTTAGGACTTCCCCATTCCTCCCAGCTGCTTGGTGACCCAGCAGGGGAGTAAGGACCCTGTCGTAGGCAGTTCCTCTCCTCTTCCTGCGGCATCCCCTGACGGTCTCTGGAAATACCATCTCCAGCCTGGAGCAAGGCCGGTGGCTGGAAGTGAAGCCACTTTTCCAGGGACTTGGGCTTTGAGACAAGGCGGGTAGGGCAGGTGAGGATGCAGGAAACGCAGGACAATAATCGAGGCAAGGGTGGACTGAGCTCTGTAACTCCAGGTGGCAAAGGCTGAGTTATATGAAATCACCGACTCCAGTCTGTCAACCATAAACCTCTTTTGGAATCTCCTAAGAAGGGGGTCACAAATCCCTGCTCAGGGCAGAGCGTGAATGTGGGGAGCTGACCCTTGGCGGTTGGTTTTTGGGGGTGAGTGTGGATGGAGACCAGTGTGGTCAGTGACAAAATAGGAATGTCAAGTCTTAAGACTTTTTTATTAAAAGTGTGGTAATTTGCTGAGCCCACACTCATATTCAACACGTATTTCCTGAGGCCTTACCATGTGCCAGGTCCTTGGTTAATCCCTGGGGAAATGGAAATAAATAACTAAGATAGGGTGGCTGTCCTCAAACTGTTGAGCTATGGGGACACACAGACTCAGACCCAGACACAACAAACTGCGATTGAATGTGACACATGGGACAGCAGAAGTGAGAGCCAATGGCGGGGAGGGAAGTTGGCCATGGCCTCCAGCGAGGGGCTGCGTGCGGACGGGTCCTGAAGGACAAATAGGAACTGGCCAGGCACAGAGGGGGGCGGAAAGGGCTCTCTTTGCAGACAGAACCCAGGAGTGAAGGCGTGGACGAGGGGAACGTGTTGGGTGTGTTTGGAGAACTGTGAGAATTTGGGTGTGGCTGGAAGAGAGATCTTGGCTGTGGGTCAGAATCACCTGCAAAGCTTTTGGTAAGTACAGCTTCTTGGACCGCACTTCAGACCTTCTGGGTTTGACTATCAGCCTAGGCAAGAGTTTTTTTAAAGACCTCCCCATCTCACTGTCTTCCCCACTCCCCCTCCGAACACACACACAACTTTGATGCACAGCCAGGGCTGAGAACTACAGGAATATTAATTCTAACTCGGCATAAGATAGAACTTTCCAGAAATGGAAAGGTGTGTCAGCAGAAGCTGACTTAGCAGGGGGAAGAATGGGGTAGCAGGGACTCCTGCCTTAAATGGGGAAGGAGGTGAGGAGGGGCTGGCTCTTTAAGGCCATGATTCAGTTCTCAGGTCATGGCTTCTGTCTTGAAGGGTGGCAGTTGGAAAGGGTGAAGACAGGGAAGTAATATTCATTCCCAGAGAGAAGCCAGACAGAGAGGGAGGGGAACGTCTGAGAGTGAGAGGGAAATTCCCCCAACTTGGAGGGGGGCAGCCCTGGAACTCCTCCAGGAGATGGTGAAAGGGGAAGTCCCAGCTCAGGGTGACATGACCGAGGGCGCTCTGGTCCCTCCCCGGGGACTCGCCCTGCCCACCTCCCCCTAGGCAGTCTCCGACAAAATGCTACACTCATCTCGCCTCAGTGGGAACTCCTCCAGGAGATGGTGAAAGGGGAAGTCCCAGCTCAGGGTGACATGACCGAGGGCGCTCTGGTCCCTCCCCGGGAACTCGCCCTGCCACCTCCCCCCTAGGCAGTCTCCGACAAAATGCTACACTCATCTCCGCCTCAGTGCATCCTGGGGGAATGAATGGAAAAACCCGGCCCTGCAAAGGAGGCTGGAGGGAGGGAGTGCCCTGGGGAGCGCAAGAGGTTCTGATACCCAGGATAGGCATCTGAGCCTCAGGACCGCAACTCCAGGACCTCCAGGCCCAGAGCCACAATTCTTCAGGACTAAGGGCAGCCACAAGGGTTTGGCATGGGGAGGGGGGTCCCAAGAGAAACGGGCCCTCTAACACATCACCTCAACCCTCACAAATAGCCTCTAGTCAATAGGAACATCCACCAAGTTCACTGAGAGCTGCCTGTGCCAGGACCAGCCCGTGAGTCTCCCACGGGTCCATTCATCCCACTCTCTCACTAACCCCGTGAAGCCGCCTGCGCCATTCTAACCGAGGAGGAAACCGAGGGTCGGGAGGTGACATCACTGGCTCCCGGTCAACAACCAGTGATGGCAGAGTTGAACTCACACTTGGTGGGACTCCGATCTATACTGGTTCCCTTAAAACCACTGAGGAGAGCAGGTTGGGGAATCTGGGAAGGAAAGTGTTTGGGGTGCCCCAGAGACCACCGAGCCCATCAAATGCCTTTTCCACCTCTCCAGACACTTTGGGGATTTATTCTGTTCTCATTCCCCGCTGCGGTGCACACCCACATCTGCCCTTCACTGCATACCCTGGCCCAGGACAGGAGGCCCAGCTAGGGCCTGACTCCACCACCCTGTGACCCTGGCAAAGCCACCCCGTCCTTCTGAGCATCCATCTCCCTTGCAGGGTTGTTGCAGGATTAGATTAAGTCATATATACAAAGCACCAGCCACACAGCAGGTGTTGAGAAATGCTGGTCCTCTTCCCTCCCCTAGCCTTTCTCTACTTCTGTCCAAAGCTGCCCATCTCCAATGCCCCCTCCATTAGGAAAATCTCCTCCCTGACCAGCCCCTCCCCCTGATCATCTCATGCTCTCAATGCCTGCTCCCCTCTCCCAGGGCCACCTTGGGTCCTGGCATCTTTGCCTGAGTTGGCCTCACTCCTAGCTGTGAACTGGTGCACTGGGGGGCAGCATCAGGCTAGAAGGCCCAAGAGACCACCATTCTGTGCCCTGGACATGCTGATGGAGTGGCCAAGGGCTGATGGGTAGACAGGATTGCAACACTGCTCAGAGCCGAGGTGGCCACTTTGGACCCTTGACTTCCTGCATCAAAGCTGCCCAAGAACTGCCAGCATCACCCAGGCCAGCAGCTCAAAGGCATGGCTTGAACCCTGGCTGAGACATAGGGGACCTGTGCTCTAGCCTCAGCTCTGCCCATGCACCTGAGAGCCAGTTTTCTGCCCCTTGCTGGGCCTCAGCTTGCCCGTCTGTAGAAAGGGTACCTTTAAGAGGTGACCGTTAAGTCCCTCCAGCACTAACAGACTATGGTCCCATCCTTCCCCACCCACACCTCTGTCGCCAGAGGTTTGTAATGTATAGCCTCTGCCTTCTTTCCATCTCTCCGCTCTTCCATCAGAGATGAGTTTGTAGAGTGAGCCAGACCAGTTGAGATTGCTGGGCTTCTGTGTTCAGTGACTCAGACACTGCTGGCTGTTTTCATTAAAGCGGGCTCCTCGGTGTCTCCACAGTCTGACTCAGTGCTTTCGACACCACTTCCTTGTCTGGGACACGGGGCGCATTCCCAGGAGGGTGGAGGCCTGGCCTCTGGGAGGATGGCTGACTTTCCCCTGGGGTCAGAACTTAGCTCCTGGGAGGACGTAGCAACTTGCAGGAGTGGGGGCCCTGACTCCCTTCTCATAGCCAGAGTCCTGAGTGAGCAGATGTTACCATAGCTGCCATTCAGGGACACATCCTTCATGCCATGCATGGGTCTGAGACCTGGCCTTGCACTATCTCATCTAACCCTCTCAACAACCCCACCAGATAGGCTTGTTTTATGGACGAGGAGCTGAGGCTCAGAGAGGCTGAGCAAGTTCCCCAAGGTCACAGAGCTGGGAGGCAGCAGAGAACAACGTTTGCCTCTGGACAGCCTTCTCATGCCGCAGCACAGGGAGCACTCAGGTCACTGGTGTTCCCATGCACTGGGGTTTTGCAAAATGCCCTGTTGGCCAGTACCCTCCTGCTCTCCCCAGATGAGCTGACGATGGAAGTCACCGATCTGAGGACAAAGATGTCAGACCTAGGCGCGCTCCAGGAACTCTCAGGCCCCTAACAGCTGACCCAGACGACCTGGTGGCACCCCAGAACTCACCGGGGCTTGAGTGTAGGTGTCGGCTTCTAAGATCTCAGCGACTCCGTCCGTGACTCCGTCTGTCTCCTGAAGCCCGCTGGCCTCTCCTGATGCCTGTGTGGAGGCAAATGACACCAGGTAGAGGGCGCAATTTACAACTGGAAAGTCAGGGAAACTGCCTCCAGTGGAGGACAGCGTGTGTGCGTGTGTGTGTGTGTGTGTGTGTGTGTGTCAGAGAGGGACAGACAGACAGAGACAGGGAGAGTGAAATTGAGGAGAGCATGTGCATGGTACACATGCTTGGTTATTCTTTTTGTTTCCTTCCACATTTTATTGCTCAAACAAAAAACCCCACAATGGTACACATGCTTGGTTATTCTTTTTGTTTCCTTCCATATTGTTTAAACAAACAAAAAAACCCCCACAGCAATCAATTTACAGTCTCTCTTTCATACCTACTTGCATTTTGTCCAGGTTCCCTTTAATTTCCCTCAAAAGGCACTCGCAATCTTTGCGTGACTGTCATGGGAGTTTTACATTGGGAGCAGTTACATCTCTTTCATACCTACTTGCATTTTGTCCAGGTTCCCTTCAATCTCCCTCAAAAGGCACCCACAATCTTTGCACAGCTCCTCACAGGAGTTTTACATTGGGAGCAGTTACACTGGAAGTATGCCTTCCTGTTGCCACCTCATCTTCATAATTAGCCGCCTAATGGCAGTCAAGGAGCCTGGGTGCTGTGGACTCTTGCCTTGTGTCTACTTTTTCAATATTTTTCAATAGTCACAGCAATGCATCGAGGGAGGCACACGGACACGTGCCGCTTCCCTCCCCTCAGCTCACAGACATGCCGGGCCTGGACCCCGGCCTCGGCCTCGAGGAGTGCGGACATGCTCACAGAGCCAACCCCACCTGGGGAGGCTTTCCAGCTAAGCGGCGGCCGTCTTCACTAACGGAATGAAATCGACTCGTGTTTTGTTTGAGGGTTGATACCACCCAAAGAGGAACAGACAGTCTAGGGCTCTGCCACGCTCTGCATCATGCTATGGGCGTCCTGCATCATGTATGGCTTCTGCCTGGAAGGCCTTTTCCTCTTCCTCTCACCACCACTCGCCTGTCATTGGTCAGGCACTGACTCCTCCCTGACCTGCTCTGGCTGCTCCTCCCTCACCTTCCTGCACTGTCCCTGGAGTTGGGTGGTAGGTGTGGTTTATCCCTTCACCTCCGGCATCCCCCCAGGTCAGTCACCTGGCAGGGGCTCAGTATCCCGTGAAGGCGGGGATGAAGGAACAGAGGGAGGAAGGGGGAAAGGACCTATCTTTTTTCTCCCCGGCCCACCACCCCACTTCCAACTCAGGAACTGATTCATTTGCCAAGCATAAAAGCTAAATTTAGGTTCACTCTTAGAGGAATTTACACCCAGGGTGTCTTAGAGTTTTAGCTTTGATTTTAGAATCCTGACACCCTTTCTTGGCAGGAAGTCTGGAAACCAGGCCACTGACTGTCTCAGCTGCAGAAACACCTCACACCTTAGAAAAAAACACAACCCCCCACAAACACCAAAGAGATGGCTGAAGCTCTTTAAAATAATAAAATAAAGCCCAAAAGCCCAAAATAGGACTTGAGGCAGCACTTGCCAAGATGAGAGATTTTAGAGGCTCCATGACGTTGGGGATGAAGAATTGCCTGGGCACCCAGCCTTTCCCTGGCAGACGGGTTGTCGGGGCTGCAGGGCCCACTGTATGGGGTGGAT